CGTTAAATCGGACACTTTTTTGCAATGCACTATGGCGTTGTTATCGACTCGCGGAATACTGCAAAGGGCACGCTGCGTTCAATATTGGTCATCGAGCTAGAAAACGTGCGCACGTTTGACGCCATCGCGCTTGTTATGAATTGGACCACAACGGCACACGGTTCGCTAGTTGTACAAACTGCCACGCTAAATCTACATACACGTTGGCATTGCGAAAAGAAAAATGAAATCATCAAACTTCAAACCATCGTTGCAACAAGTGCTTCCATTACAGCGTTTAGAAGTTCTCCGATCATGCCATGGCGGACATTTCGGTTATTGACATTTACTGTTTCGCGGCCGCGGCTCAGTACGTCACAGCAGCACATCTCGCCCCGCAGCACTTAAGTGTCTGAGCAAACCTTTCTGGCCATCCATGAGTATATGAAAAGCGCACGACCCGATCCGTGGGAGCGGTATACTGAATAAGGGACCTGATCCGGGGAGCGGTATACCCGAATCCAGGTGACCTGATCCGGGGAGCGGTATACCTGAATACAGGCGACCTGATCCGGGGAGCGGTGTAACTGAATGGCGACCTGATCCGGGAGCGGTATACCTGAATGCAGGCGACCTGATCCTGGGAGCGGTATACCTGAATGCTCTCAGAGATGACGTGTACGTCGCTAGCGTCCTGCACACCGAACCAGTGGAGATGACGCCGGCGTACACCAGCACGCTGATGATGAACTCCTGGCTGGAAAACGGACGCGAGCATGGTGTTCAACACAGTAAGGCAAAACGAGCCCGAGCGCACAGCCACGCTCCAGTTACAGCTGCGGGAACTAAGGTGATAATAGTGCTGGAACTCGGTCAAAACTGTCTTCACAGGTAGGCAATGTCTAGCAGAGGCTAGGCTCCGCGTAAAACGACCCATCATGGGTCCCATGGTTGCGTTAGCACATTTCGGGTGTTCCAGCCCGAAAATGTCAAACGTCTGTTCTTTTGTAAGCCGATGCGCGTTTTCAAATGCTATGGTTGCAACAGACGTCCTGCTGCCGTACTTACAGGTAGGTAGGTGTGTGGTGGTAGTCCGTAGGATGCGTCAAATACATTTCATGCAATTTGGCATCACAGCTGAGGGGCAAAGAATGGGTTCAACCCAATAACGCGACAAAGCTAGGAAAGGTAACTCAGCCCACCGACCAACTCACAAGAACGAGAAGAAGACGACGCACTTGATGACTAAGAATTTGGCCAGCGGCCTGACCGGCTTGAGGAACTCGCGGGTAGCCCGGTAGAAGAGCACCAGCGAGTACATGGCCAGAAGCTGGCTGATGTTGTTCACCAGCGCCACGTACAGGAACAGCCTGTCCGGCTCGAAGGTGCCCTCGCCGTACGCGCCGAACAGGCTGGCCACGCTGGAAACACACGACAAGCGTGACTGGCGGCCGCGCTCACTGCTGGGTACGGATCACTGGTGGATGCATGGATCACGCTGGAGACCAACTTAACGTGTAAGAGATCATGTCAACCGCCTACTTCACGTTGTCCCAGCATGGAATCATGGTGCGGGGAGGGGCAGTTTTGACAGCTGTGTAGTCTATCCGAAAGTAAAACAAAATTATGACGCTTCGAACCAAACCAGCCACTGTGGCTGCTCTATATTCTTTTCTTAAGCATGCAGCCAATCCCGGCCATTTTCCTTAAAACCGAATGTATCGGGTCACTTCACACCCAGAGGCTTTCCTGTGAGATGTTAAATCGCAACAATGACGTGTCCAGACCAGTTCAAGCGCAGCTTACAATGCAATGCAGGAGGTGACCGGCCTGACCACCGTGTACTGTAAGATGAAGTGCTTGCACCGCTGGACCAGCTCCCTGAAACAGGGCAGGCACGGGATGAGCTCGGTAACGATTGGCACACGCCTGCTCACACGGAGGATGGCACATGAGTGCAGCAGTCAGAGCAACCTGCAGCAAATAGCGCAGTTTCAATAGTCCTCGAACGCCTTAGAGCGTTCGTGCATTATAGAACACGTCGACAGAAAGGCCGGACAGCCGCAGTCCAGTCCTCTCAGAATGCGCACACAGCTGGCCGGAATGAGGTCAGCATGTTTTCTTCGACAAGCACCAGCTGCGGGTCTGGGCGCCGCGCGCGGGCCGGCGCCGGGCGCGCCCCAGCTCACGTACCGTCCCATGCGCCCACGGTCGCAGGCAGCAGAAGGGGCAGATGTGCGCCAGGTCCGGGCGCGTGGCCAGCACCGACTCCAGGTCCATGTGCTCGTTTAGCGTGATCAGCAGGTACATCATGAAGTTGTAGATGACCGTAGGCCTCGTAGCACTCCCGGCCCAGGTCGAAGTAGATGGTGTAGTGTGGGAAGGTGAGCCCATCCAGGCGTTCAGCGTGTACACGGGCACCATCCACAGAATGCGGATGATGCGCTGCTGCAGCGGCGGCTTGGTGTAGTTGACCAGGTGCATGATGATCTCCCAGAGCGCGATGGGGAGCGTGAGAAAGGCGAACACGCTGCCGATCAGCCATGCCTCGAACTTGATGCGTGTGCCGGCGTGCTCCATGTAAACCACCAGTACCGGCAGGCAGATCACCAGGATGATGCCATACAGCAGCATCACTTACTGGCTGGATCCACTGGCGCCATGATCGCAGCACCAACGGCATTGTTCTCAATCTGTTGGCAGCATGAAATGTGCAATTGTTGGAATACTATTGTTATGAAGATCATAGGCGAACAGTCCCGTTTCACCTACCTCTAAAGGAATGGAGCTATCACTCCTTGTTCATGCTATCTTTATTCAACAACAGGCAACATAGGATTATCTCAAATGTACTGTTTGTACTGCAACAAATGACAATAATGGAAAATTACTGCTTTGTGCTCTTGCCCTACACTGTCACACATAAATATATGAAACAAAATATGTGGCCCAAAATGAACACAAAATAATGGCATAATGGAAGTGCTGTCAGCTGGTTCTTTCCAACCATTTAGCCAACATTAAATCCAAATGTCACAATTATTTGTGATAAGTAAGACGGGCTACCAAAAGGAAAGATGTCTACCAACTAAGCAAACTTAGCAAATGAAGAACAAGCCAAAATGTACAACATGCACTTCAATAGGATTTTTTGGGCATGGTTCCTTTAAAAATATTTCACCTGTAACTTATGACAAAGTTTTGCATGTAACTGATGCCAGTAGCACAGGCAGGGGGTGCACAGGGGGCATTGTGCCCTCCCTTAGTATCCAAGGGCCCTTCAGGCCTCTCAGAACCTACAATTAAGGACCCAATTTGCGGGCCCAAACACAGCCAGCCAGAGGTATCAATTCAGGGGGACCCTGGCCCACAGGGTTGGGCACTCAAATACCAACCAGAGGGCCATGTGTACTGGTAAGGGGCCAACTGAGTCAATAAGTCTATATTTCACTAAGATGCCACCAGTAACACACCTTTAGCCCTGTGGTGCCATGGTCCTAAGAGCCCTTTTCCAAAAAAGGGACAGAGTCTGAGCCAGCGATTTACATTGCTCAGAGTCCCACAGCACCTAACAGTGGCCCTGTGTTGTCAAGAGCCCTGATTTAGCCAGAGGCAGTGTTCAAGGAGACCCAAGGAGCCCAGAGAACCCACCTGATCTGAAGATCAAGTGCCAGATTGGAGAGTCTGCAGGCATAAATGGCTGATCAGTCTTATTCAGTGGTCATGGCTCATGAACACAGGCCCTCAAATAAGTGCCAGGGGGCCCTGTGAGATGATCAGGGACCCCTGAGGTTATATGGGCCTATATGTCAGTCAGGTACCACCACACCACATAGTCAGCTCTGTGTCAGTATGGGCCTGAGGATGCACTTTCCAATCAGCTATGAAGTTGGGCCAGTGATTTACACTGGTCAGGGCCTTGTATCTGGCAGGGGCCCACAGTGCCTAACAGAGAGCCCTAAGATCACAAGGGCCCCAAGCCAACCAAGGGAAGTGCTTAATGAGGCCTGAAGAGTTGGCCAGGTGGCCCACTGGAACTGACCATGAATGGCCCAGTTGGAGGGAGTTGGGGCCAAAGTTGGCTGCAGGTCACATAAGAAGTTACAGCCTGTAGGATTGTAACCTGAAATACCACTCAGAGGCCCCTTGCAATGTTTTAGGAACACCTAAATATACACATACCTGTATAGCACACTTGAATTTACATCCAGTGGGTGGTGATATGGGTATAATTATGAAACATCATGGTTCACACTCCCTTGGATCAGACTGATTTTCTCCCACATTTCTATATGCTGAAAAGCATTATGGGAAGAGCTAAATGGCATGCCATTCACCTCATTATGTGCATATTTTCATAGTAGAAACTACATAATATAAATCGTGGTGCAAAGAAACCCCATAAACAGAAGGAAGAAAACCTATACAAGACACCACTGACCGACGAGGAACAGGGTGACGGCTGGCGCAAACATACTACCTCCCAATAGGTCTTGAAAACATGCTTGCCAGAATAACAGCATAGGCACCCACATTTACCAAGATGTATCCAGGATTTGAAACACACGAAAGCCCAAATCGTTGCCTTCAAGCCACGGCGCGGCACTGCATCACACGCCACGCGTGCTCAGCGCCCACGGCAGTTACGCAATGTTATTGTTACGGTTTGTTTTGATTTGCTTCTTCGTCGATAGTACGTAGCTTCTGTAGTATCATCAAGACGTTCTTTATATAAATGGCATTTTTCGTGAAAAGCTTTTTGGGTGCATCATTACGGTGAATCACAAAGTTTTGAACAACATGTCATAAACTATTGCAGACTGATAGCAGAGGTTATCCGTGCATATTTGGAACCGGCAATTTCTTGAGCGAATCAAGATAAAAGACTCTCAATCAAGAACGACGGAATATTTCAATTATGGCGGCTTGTCCGGCAGCGAAGGACAGACTCGTACACGGCCTTTGTCGGCAGAGGGAGAGCGGAGAGTACTGTGATGCCTTGATAACCATAGCAGACAATATCAGAATAACTGTCCATTCTAATGTTTTGGCAATTGCGAGTATTTACTTCTCAGATATAACCAGAGAGCCCTCGTCGCTTTTGCCGCATATCCCCTCCGTGCGTGTGGGAGGATATGTTTCCTTGTCTGCGACCGTCCAAGCGGGTCGTTCAGATGCTGATGCATGTGAACAGGTGATTAAAATCATCGAGTATAGCATTTCATGTGATAGGATACATGTATGCAATATTGTTTGTCGTCTTGACCACGCCCACCTGCTCTAAAATATCTCATTTGATAATGCCAATTTGGGTGTGATGGTGCACCTATGCAACATCTTAGATGCCACCATGACCCTAAAGTAATTGTGTTTTGATTCACCAGATTGCATGTCATGCTTTATATCAGTTAAATACTCCTGGCATTGACTGCAGCCTGCTTCACACTATTCATCAAATGAATCCTTGTCTGATATATCCTAGGCCCATTATACCAGGTTAACCTGCTTGCTATGTTTTCAGCCAGCTCGAGAATCCAGCCCTGTGGAAACTGCTACTGGGCATGAGAAGATGGGATGTCCAGTTGATCTGAACCACTTCAAATCTGAGGGTGTCCAGCCAGATGCGGATCATGTCATGATGGGCTCCGCAGAGGTGTCAGAGCTGGTTACAATACCTGAAGGCAATATCTACTGTGCCAGCATGCCAACAGTGGTGTTTAGCACTGGGTGTAGTGATCATGAAATGCCCATCATTCATTCTCTTCTTGAAATTCCCCAGAACTTTAGTGCAGCATCATTTGATCAAAGCTCAATAGATGGTGACCTGATCACAATTGATGCTAATGCTATCTGCATCAGTAATGAAGTTAAACAGGCTAGCTGTGCACCAACACCTTCACCAGGCATTTCCAGTCCAGCCCCCTCAATTTTGAGAAGGAATCACAAGAAGTCCAGCTACAAGTACCTGTTCAAGTTCCAGCCAGTTGATACTCAGAGTTTAGAGCTGACACAGCTTGCAGAATGTGTGAAGCTGCTGGTGGACTTTGCCTATTGCAGCTCTGAGCTGCAGGTAACAGAGGAGACCTACCCAGTGCTGCACGAGCTTGCCAAACTGCTGGAGATGGAGGAGGCGGTGTCGGCCTGTGAGAAACACGCGGTGGATCGGCTGGTGGGTGAGCCGGAGCCTCCGGCGCCGCCGCCGGCCTCGGAGCCGGGGCCCGGTGGCGGCTCCCCAGCGGGCTCCACCGCGGATCCGCCTGACGACCCTGCCGACGCCAGTCACGGCCAGCTGCTCGTTTGCCGCAACTGCTCCTTCTTCTGTCACGGCGCGTCGCGCATGCGCGAGCACCGGCGCATGCACCACGTACGCAGCTACATGTGCGCGCACTGCGGCGTGACGCGCCAGAAAACGAGCCAGCTGCTGCGCCACCTGATGCAGGCCGACCACGGCGAGACGGTGTGCTCGCTCTGCTTCCACGAATGCGGGCCTGGTGAGCGCATGGCCGACCACTACGTGCGCCACAACGACCCGCGGCCCTTCTTCTGCTCCGTCTGCTTCGCCCGCTTCCCCAGCCGCACTGGACTGAACCTGCACATGCCGACCCACTCCAGCGTCAAACCGTTCGTGTGCCGCACCTGCGGCCAGGCGTTCAAGTGGCGCCACGCGCTGCAGAGCCACGCGCGCACGCACGGCGCAGAGAAGAAGCTGCTCTGCGACGTGTGCGGCTTCTGCACGCGCCACACGGGCCAGTTCAAGGCGCATAAGGCGCGCCACGCGGGTATGACGCACCAGTGTCCGCACGACGGTTGTCCGTTCCGGGCGACCACGCCGTGGCTGCTCAAGGACCACCTGGTGACCCACGCCTCCGATAAACAGTATCAGTGCGAGGTGTGCGGCAAGAAGTTCGGCCACGTGCGCAATATGCGCCGCCACGCGCTGCTGCACGGCCGGCAGGTGGCGCTCACGTGCGAGCGCTGCCCCTATCAGACGACGCGCTCGGACAAGCTGGCGCAACACGTGCGTGCCAAGCACGCGACGGTGGCGCCTCCCGACGGCGAGCCGCCGCCAGTCGGCGACGAAGCGGCGCCAAGCGACCCTAGCGAGCCGGCGTCGTCGGCAGCGGCTGCCCCAGAGGTCCCAGCAGCTCGGCGGCGGCGCCTCGCCGCGCCAGGGGGCGCCGCCGGCGGCCAAGCGGCGCCGGAGAGCGGCGGCGCCTGTCGGTGAGGCGGCTCGGCCGCCGGCGCCGGCCGAGCCGCGCGCCGTCCCACCTGCGGCAGGCCGCCGGTTCGTGCCGATCCTCCCCAAAGGCGTGGAGGCGGCGGCGCGGCCCGTGGTGCGCATGCGCCGGCGCACGCGCGTCCGCCGCCTGCTGCCCAAGCCGGACGAGGAGCGGCCGCAGTCGGAGGGACCCGCGCCCACCGATGTCGGCGGCACCGCGCGCGGATCTCAGCGATGATGTGTACCGCTTTTGATACGTGTGTTCTCGTGGAGCGGTTTTCTTGTGACCGTCGTCAGCTGGTACTAGTCGTCCTCAGTTTCTCGCCCAATTGCGTTAGGAAGCAGCGTTTGAACCTTGGCCTGCAAACTGTGTTTGGTCAGCCGCGCGTTCGTTGGTTGAATGTAAATGGCCAAACTTAAAATTGGCTAGGTAATTACGGAAGTTGTTATAATGCCGACATAATGGTCGTTTTTGACATGCAATGTTAAAGCCGTGTTGTCTTGGCGTACGCATTTGCGTTCATATGGGAATTGACGTTTCGGTCTAAATTATATTTTTTATCGTCAAAATGATTCTTTTTTGTCGCGGAAGAATGCTTTCGCTCCCACATTGCTGTGATACTGTGCTCGCCAATGCAATAGACCTTATTTTTGTTTTTCGTGCTGGTCTGACGCGCACACGCGGGCGGGATTTCCGACAGCTCACTACCCACAGGGATCCCCCAGGAAACGGTGCAATTCGTACTGGTGGTGGGAGCGTGGAAAACAAATCCATATTGCGGCCATGGCTTCTGCAAGCGCAAACACAACGAATGGGCCAGCCGCTAACCTCTAGTCTGTTCGTGTTGCATAATTCTAGAGCGATCGATCGGGTAGGTGTTACAGAATGTTTGTTAGCAACTGCCTGCGCACTTCCTCAATAACCGAGCATCGGAGTGGATGAGGGATTCCATGCATGAGGCCACTTAAACCACATGTGGGTGCAATTTTACCGTCTTAGTTGTATGATGAGGTGCTGCACCGTGCGAACAGCAGCTGGATACACATAAGCATTGTTTGTATGAGATGTGTGGTGGGTAGTAATATGCAGCTCCAGAAGGACTATTCGCATGACTGAGGGGTTTGCTCAGTTCCTGCCAAAGTATCGCCGAGTTGTGGACGTCACAATCGGGGGTGTAGTTTCCTACCCAGTTGCGGGGGGCAGCCTCAACTTGGGCTCCAACTCTTCCCCCCCCCCCCTCTCCCAACTTTGCGAAGAAAAGTGTGCCAAATCAGGGGAAAAGCCTGCTTTTTGGTCATTGTGCACTGTTTTGCCCCCCCCCCCCCTTCGACACCCACCTCATTCTATAAAACTGCGCCCCTGGTCGCAGTAGTGCACTTGGTTCATAAACCCATGAACGACCGCAACCCCATCTATCATTTTTAGCATTTTGCCATCGGTTTCTGGGATAAACCAGCCGGGATGTTGGGAGCTTTTGACGCAAGACTCTTGATTGCGTTTTTTGTTTTGTTTTTTTGTGTTTTGTCTTTCGAACGCAATCTAACATCGCCCGGTAGACCTGGTGGACGGAGTGTACTGCCCTGTGCCGCGCAATGTTAGATTTCGAACGGCGTGGCGGTGCCACAGACCATACTCCTTCAGGGGAGCCGTCAAAACGCCCACGATCACAGCATCCAGTGTTCACATCATTACCAGATCGCAACATCCAGCACTCATGACATCCTACATGCGTCCAATTCCGTGCCCATTGAGGGCGTTCTTAGCATCCAAGCGCGCAGCATCCTTAGTCGTAATATCCAGTGTTCATAGCATCCAGCGATCACGGGACCCGGAATTAGTCGTAATTGCTACTGCTAAATGACATTACAGTAGCATATTCCTTCGACTCCTGCCGCTAGATGACACAGTGCCACATTTCTCTCTGTGTCAACAGATGGCACAGTCAACCTGACATTCCACTGAAGATCACGTGACAGGTACAATAAAACGTAGTGCGCGGAGTGCCTGGCGGCCGTGTCCGGGCTGGGCGCGGCCACGCCCCGGGCTCGCCGATGGGCCGTGAGCAGGCGCGCCGGGCGGTGCTGCGGCCGGAGACACGGCGGCCTGCGTGGGCTGGGCCGGGACCGCCGCGCTCACGAGACAGGCAGGCCATCGCACCACCGCCGATGCCGCCAGCCCTGCCTTCGTGCAGAAGCATGCTGGCGTGACGGATGAGGCTAGCGGCGCCGTCGAGAGCTGCATGTCGAAGGGCAAGGAGCTCATCTTCAAGCGCTTCGGTATGTGAGGTAGGCTTGGGTAAAAAAGGTAAAAAGTTAGGTCATGTGGCACTGGAGCCGAAACAAAGCCGAAGCAACACTCCTCAAAAAGTGAGGGTGCCCATTGTCGTATTGTAGTTTATTGTTTCCAGTTATTACCTTAATGTCAGTGCTGCACATTCCCAGAAAGTGAGGCTGCCATGTCACCCACGGAACCACCGTCCCTCCGTCTGTGAGACGAAAATGCATTTAGTCTGTATTTGCCCCAGATATATTGATTCACCTGCTTCGTCATACCATCCACTGTGCTCCATTTTTCAAATAAACACACGTTTTCACGGCATATACATACAGCCGCGTCCCAACCTTGCACCAGAATCGGCGGTTAGGTACTGCGTTGGCCTTAACGTACGCTCTCGCTAATTGCCTAATAATCCGTGGAAGTCCCCGTTACTAATCTGCCGATTTTGCCCTAGCATATTTCAATTCTCCTCTAAGCAATTTTCAAAAGGTTTCCATTAATGGCTTCATCGATCGAACCCTTATAGACAGGGTTGAAAATGACGAATAATGCCGGCGGACGAGCGTAAAGTGTACGTTTTTGCCCCAGCCCAGCCCTGTGGTGGGCTGGACTGCGCGACGCACCACCTAGCACCGCGCTGATCACGTTACGCATGCAACCGACAACTATGTAGCCACGGGGATCTGGTTGCAAAGGCGCAGGGACTTTGTTCGAGTTGTGGGAACTTCAAAATGCGGAAATGGACTGTCTAAGATTAGAAAGTGGGCAGCTACACTCTAGAGTGGGCCCTCTAGAAGTCAGAATGGAGTTTTCCAGAATATCTCTCAAAACCTGTTCTTGTGTCTTTCGCAGCTCACGGTTTTGTGAGTTGTCCAGACGCTGGAGTATGAACGGGCAGGTGGTTATGATATATTAGAGGTTATGAACATTAGGCCTCGCGATACGTTAGGAGTTACGATCATTAGGGGTTATGATACATTAGCGGTTATGATATATTAGAGGTTATGAACATTAGGCCTTGTGATAAATTAGGTGTTTCGAACATCAGGTGTTGTGATACATTAGGGGTTACGAACATTGGGTGTTGTGATAATCCCCCGTCGAGGCGCCGGCTCCCGTGGCCGTGGCCGGTGACGGGTCACTCCAGGTCAGGTCCTCCAGCGAGGGGGAGCGGTCGAACAGGATTCGAGCCCTGCGTGTGAACGTGACCTGTCGCGGAGAGGTTCGAGGATGCGCCAACTCGGAGCACGTTGTACGTATCGTACACCTATCTTTTCGCAGTACAGAAGCATGCACGGTGAGTCCATTTTTTAGTTTAGCGCCGATGGATCTGCGTATTATGGACCAGGTAGGTGCAGCAAACCGTTGGTCCGGACTCCGATCCACCAGACGTCTTTCAGACTTCAGGACGATGTTTTCTGCAAGAAGAATACGCTTAAGAGTCAAACGTATTCTATAGAGCTACGGATATGCAGACTCCAAAACATCGCTGCATGTCCTCAACCGAATCGGATGATTTTTACACCGACGGAGTACATGACATCGGTGACATGCTTTCGCTACCTGCCAAAAAACATGTAACTTTCCATTGATACCAGGGCATTGAAGCACCGCTTTGTTCAAGAGTTACTTTGTAGCGCGCTGTGGCGCGTGGCGTATCTACCTGCCACGAGTCACATGCTGCTTTTTCAACATGCGAGTACGGTTTTTGTTTGTTACGTTTTGCCCGTGCGTTCGTTCCGGACATGGGCGCCACGACAATTAATAGGGGGGATGGGGGAGGGAAGGGGGCTTTAAAAACACCGACCTCGTCGCAGTAAACACACATTCAACCAGTACATGGGCACGTCCAGACAGCATAGCACGGGTGACAGTCGGCTGTCGGAGGGACATGGACACCGACTCGTGCCACGCGTCCGTATGGGAGACCATATCGGCAAGGCGCCCGACGGCCGGGCGCTCGGCGCCTACACCTCGGAAAAGTGCAATCCCGGCGCAGTAATCGCCGACCCTTCGGCGATTCTGAGGTCCCCGGCCCCTTTTCCTCTCTTTAAACCATTTAGAAGAAGAGTTCTGTTAGAATGCTGCGCTCATGTGCTCGCACAATCGTTGTGATCTGTTATGTAACGCGCACTCTTTTCGTGCTTACACCGTATCGCAGTAATTAACATGAGTAATATATAGATCTGTAGCTAATGTGCGGTGTTATATGACAAGCCGACCTCCGCCTGGCGTTTATCTATGCGCTTCAATGGACAGTATGTAGGAAAATGGCAGATCAATTAATATGGTGCGACATGAATTTTGTGCTGAGGGAGGACTCGTCGCGTGGGCTGCCGGCCGGCCGGTCGATAATTATCAAGTCCAACAATGGACCTCCTGGCAAATTACGTGCAACGAGACGGCAGCCAACGAGACCGATTGTACAATGACACAATTTTCTATCCCTAATGCAATAGGGTGGTTGACACATGTCGCCATGTGTCACACGCGTGCACAAGTGTCATTTTTGTGCCGTTTTGAACGTCCTGGCATCCCGTCTGTAGGGAGGTCTATTACTGGACTAGGAACAATCCAGCCAAATCGGCGCCTCCTAGGCCGTGAGAACGGACCCGAAAGCGATGAGACAGTCGTTACAGCTCTGCTGTGTAATTACACACGCACACGTACTGTGTCTGCACTAGATTGGGCCGTCTGGGTTGCTGGGAGTTCCGTTTTTGGACTCGCAGTTGTCGCCCGGCTGAGTGCCAGCCGCTTCCCCGCCCGCTCGGGTGCACCTTGCCGCCGTTCGCCGCCTAGTGGTTGGCGGCGTTTCGCTGCTCCCGAATAGCGTTGTCGGCCACTGGGAAAAGAACGCTGGTGGGTGGCGTGAGGAGGAGGCGCGTGACCAGTGTCCGTTTTGGAGATTATATTTGCGTAATGAAAATTGAGTGAGCTATGCTATCGATGTCACGACACACTGTGCATAACGAGTATCGCTGCTGGCGCACACGTTGGCTGCGTTGCAACGGCGGCGTCCCGGCTTCTGCCAGGTCAAGGCTATCTGCCAGGTGGCCAGGGCAGGCTGGGTGCACTGTTGCATGGTACGCTGTTTTCACAACGTGCTGCACAGCATGAGCTGTTGTTTTGTTTATAAATATATTCTTGAAGTCAGTGGGAGCCTCAGTTCACGCCTTTTAAAGGCCAAACCATGACCAGGAAAGTGTGAGACATCTGGGTCTTATAGCTGTACACAAACTTCATATATTTCCACAGCTACTATGCAGCCTGCAAGTTGGTAAAGATTAGACAGAGCACAGTTTTGGAACAACACAAAATTGGCAGATGCGGTGTTCAGAATGTGAGATGTACGGGCTCAGTTTTGGTTGAATGAGTTGGTGACCATTCAGCACTTATCCTAAAGATACCTAGAATTGTTGTGGCCTGAGGGGAGAAGTGCTTGCAAAAGATACTAATTGATGACTTGAATTATACTTTACTTGAATTATGACTAAACTCACTCAGCCCAGTATGTGGGCGAAAACTGCCGAGTGTTGCATAGCAAATTAGCCTGAATGAGCATCTTGCAATGATCAAACTAAACTTAATAACAGGTGCTGTGGCAGATTTACCATACAATATATGCGCCACCTGGATTCCAGTCTCCTGCTTTTGTCTTAAGTGCTGCTCATAGCTACCCACCCATTTTCATGACTAAGATAATTACAAAATATGCTTAACCTGTAATTGTCATTTATAGAAGTGCATTTGAGATTGCTGTGCTTAAGCTTAAATATTCACTTTGCTGCTGTTAGTTGCTTTGCAGCCAACACAAGAACTGTAATTACTTTGCTGATTCACTCAAATACAGTACCTCACACATATTTCTTTAGCACTGTACTAGACCATACAGGCATGCTTGAGTAAAGGGTATGCAGCTTATTGGCTGTATGTGATAGATTATTGGTAATAGTTTAGTTCATGCTGTTACTTACATTGGTATTATTGCAGCACATATTATTTTTCCTAAACTTAACAGACTCACCTGGCTGAAAGAGATAGCCAGATATCCCACTAATGACAACACATGATTATGTGCTTGATGCATCTGCCTAACCTGACAATCAGCTTTGATTAACATGCGATGGTTGGTCTAAGTGTTTGCACAGTGCATAACTACACATCGTTGGTGATGCTGAATGGCCAATAATGACAGTGGCAATGCCTATAAGGTGATAATGATATTGCTCACGTCTTATGTCTTCCTCAGATCTGCTGCAAGCTTGGTTGGCCTACAGACAAAGTACAGTCATCAGTAGCTGGGGTTGGTTTTGGCCAGCTGTTCTTTTGGCACGGTTGCTGATTGCCTACAATGTCCAAGTACTTCCAAGGAAACATCATGTGAGCAATTAGTTCAAGGCTAAAAGGGCACTGGGTGTAGGAGATGAAATTGCTGTTGATCCAGTTGGGTCTCCAGTGCAATCAAAGCATGCCACTTAGCCTCCATTATAGGTGATGTAGTTTGTTATTTTGGTTGTATATGAGTACATTGGCCCTTGCACATTTGTAAGAATGCATATCACATGTGTACTTGTGTGCAGCAGATGGCAGCTTTCAGTTGAGTGACAACTGTGGTGAGGTGCAAGCAAGTGGGCACAAAGCTGGCTGTGATGCCAGTGTAGCATTATGGTGTGGATTGGGATTCTGGGCCATTGTGCCTCACTGGCATCCTCATCACATTAACTTGTCTGACAGACAATCTACAGGCACAAACTTCTAAATAACTTGTTCTTGTGTAGACTTTCCATGATGCATTCCAACAGCTATAGTTTCCAGTAGGGTGTTCACCAGAACACTGCTGTGCTCGGTGCATCCCGCTCTGAGCCCACCTGACGCCCACTGCGCCTGGGGGCCATGTCGGCAGGCTGCGTCGTCTCGCTGCCCGCTGCTACCACCAGGGCGGCGCCATCCGCGCCATCGACAAAGTGCTGATCGCCAACCGCGGCGAGATAGCGTGTCGGATCATCCGCACGGCGCGCCGCATGGGCGTGCGCACAGTGGCTGTCTACTCGGATGCTGACCGGCAGGCTCTGCACGTGGCCATGGTGGGTGCGCCCGGCACAGTCGGGAGCCGGCTCGGATGTGGCCACGGGGAGTGGCTGAGGGCATGGGTCCCAACGTTGTCCAAAGTCGTCTGTGGCCCCCCAGTTTGTTCTTAACTCACATGTTCGGACATGGATCATGGCATGCTGCTGGAGCCCGGGTGCCAATGCTAGTTCTCGGTGCAACTCGTCGCGTCTCGCTGCGGCCCTTTGCTATCTACCGGTGCCCAGTATGCATCAGAAGACGGCGACAGCTTATCAGCATAGCAACTCACGGGACTGGCAAATAGAGTGCCGCCGTCATCACAGCTGACTTGACGCCGCGTCCGTCGGGACAACAGGCCTGCGGCACTCTGCTGACCGTGCCCTGCCCGCGCGCAGGCGGACGAGGCGTACCACATCGGAGCGGCCGCCTCGCAGCAGTCGTACCTCCGCGCCGACCGGATCCTGGCGGTGGCGCGGCGCGCCGGTGCGCATGCGGTGCACCCCGGCTACGGGTTCCTCTCGGAGAACACGGCGTTCGCCGAGGCGTGCCAGGCGGCCGGCGTGGCGTTCGTTGGTCCGCCGGCCACCGCCATCCGGGACATGGGTATCAAGAGGTGGGCACTGCGCGCGCACGGGCGGCTAATGTGGGGAGTGGGCGCGCGGGATAGACTTTCGAAGCGTTGGGGGTTTGGAGTATGGGGCTCTAGCCCGAGCATGTATGGGTGCTCGCTTTTGTGCAAACAGGCGGTGTCCAATGCCGGTCCTTCTCTGGTGTCGTCATTTGCATGACATGTCTGGCATGTTCTGCATCCTGTTTGACAAATTGCCTTCGCCGCGCAGCACCTCGAAGAAGATCATGTCCGCTGCCGGCGTTCCAGTGATCGGCGGTTACCATGGCGACGATCAGTCAGACGAGAAGCTATTGCAGGAGGCGGACAAGATTGGCTTTCCCGTCATGATTAAGGCGGTCATGGGAGGTGGTGGAAAGGTAAGCTGCCATGCAGCATTCATACAGTCAGTGGCTTCGCAGTGAGACATGGGTATGATAGGGATGTGCTGCATCATCTTCAGGCATTTATGGCTGAGAGAACCTTATGGCGCCATTAAAAAAAAAACTGCGAGGCATGCAACGTGCTAATATTTCAGCGTTCCCATGTCGGTGCCTATTGCATTGAATGCCATTCTGGACGTCTTGAGGCATATTCTCCCCGTGTGGCGCTGACACTGATTCCTAATGACGTGTACGGTTTCATCGTGAATTAAGTGCCTGGTTTGCCATGGTCCGATGAGCTGGATAATCGATGTTAAACAAATTAAGCGAGTCACCAGTCCCGACTTAATATGGATGAGGCATCCACGGCTACCTCGTCAAGTGTATCACGTTCAGTCCGAAGTCGTCCACCGGGACGATCCCGGGCCCGTGCCGCGTCCGTTACCGCCCAGCTCTGAGCGGGATTATCAGCTCTGGTCCCTGATGGATGTAATCCGCGCCATGTCCGTCACCGCCCAGCCCTGAGCGGGGTTATCAGCTCTGGTCCCTGATGGATATAATCCGCGCCGTGTCCGTCACCGCCCAGCTCTGAGGGGGGTTATCAGCTCCGGCCCCTGATGGGAATAATCCGCGCCGTGTCCGTCACCTCCCAGCCCTGAGCGGGGTTGTCGGCTCCGGCCCCTGATGGATATAATCCGCGCCGTGTCCGTCACCGCCCAGTACGGGGGGCGTTATCAGCTCTGGCCCCTGATAGATATAATCCGTGCCGTGTCCGTCACCGGCAAGCTCTGAGCGGGGTTATCAGCTCTGGCCCCTGATGGGTATAATCCGTGCCGTGTCCGTCACCGCCCAGCTCTGAGCGGGGTTATCAGCTGTGGCCCCTGATGGCATAATCCGTGCCGTGCCCGTCACCGCCCAGCTCTGAGCGGGGTTATCAGCTCCGGCCCCTGATACCGCGCCGTGTCTGTCGCCGCCCAGCCCTGAGCGGGGTTGTGGTTGACAGGGGATGCGGATCGCAGCCACCAGGGACGACTTCCACGCTCAGCTGGAGTCGGCCCGGCGCGAGGCGATGAAGGCCTTC